GGCTGTGATGGGTTTCGTGTTCAGGCAGTGGATCATGCCCCCTCAGTTACTCATTGGGTACTTGTTAGTGCTCACCCCCTTCTCTCTCTGCTGTCGGATGTTCAGAGAGAACAGACACAGCAATTTTGAATTGGCAGTGGGTGGGCAGAGAGGGGAGAGGGACAAAGGCTGTCCTGCAGCTTGTGCCTCAGGCACGCTCTTACACAAGCCTCAGGCACGCTCTTACGCTTTGATTGGGTTCCTTCCCGTTGGCAAGGTCTCCTTTTGTTCCCTTTGGTATGGAAACTTGTGTGTTTTCTGACCCAATTTCAGCCTGAGGACCTCTATGTCTTGCTAGGATGGGAAGAGGAGTCTGAGACAGATGGACAAAAGCTGGTACTGTATTCTGCTTGTCCTGTTATGCCAGTGCTCCCCTTGCTGATACTGATGAGAAGGGCTCGTCTTCCTATCTGTGCTGGCATTCAGACAACATGGAAAGTACACTTAAAGTGATTAATCTCTTCTTTATATGCAGTTAGGACATACTGATAGACCGCCTTAAAAATGTAAGACTGTGACAGGAAAGCTCATTTAAAATGTGCGTGATCTCCTCCTCCCCCCCACCCTGAGAGCTTTCAGCCTCTGCCTTTTAGTTTTACTTAACTCTACTTTACTTTTTACTTAGATCAGAAAGATAAAGAGCCCGAGGTAATGGGATTGGTTTAGGGTTCAATTGCTGTTGGAGTACATCTAAGCCGATTAAAATACACCGTGACTTAGCGGAGACAAGTAAACAGATGTTTAAACATCTTTCAGCCCTCCGATTGTGCTCTGCTTGAAACGCTGTGACCCATTTCTTCAGTAGTGTAGTAATGTTTCTGCATGGGAAATGTTTTAAAAGGATTACCTGCGGTGGGTTTGAGTTGTGACTGTGAAAAGCAAAGGTACTGAGCATACTTCTCTGCGTGTTCTTTAACAAGGCTACGGAGAGGAGGAAAGGTGTGCTGTCCAAACATCAAAAGAAATTTGGGTTAATTTTTAGTCACTCCAAGTTTCCTGTGTAAGTAAGAACCCAGGTAAACTTGGTTTGAGTAAGGTGACAACAAAGGCTCAAGTGGGGGCTGGGCCACTTCTCTTGTATTGGTCATTTTATTTCACTGTTTTTTTTTCTTCTGGTCTCTTGACTTGAGGGGTTTTGTGGTTTGTTTTTCTTTCTTTGGTCACCACCTGGATTTTTATGCCTGACAATATTGTTTCCTCTAAGCAGCACTGTCAGCAGAGATGTCCTACCCCTGTCTACCTCAAGGCCCTGCACTGTGATAAAACAGGCGGTGGCTCACAGTAGCAGAGTGAGGTTCTGTGCACAGGAGGTGCAGCAACAGGAGCTGACGGGACTCCCAGGCAGACCTCCTGCTTGTCAGGAAATGATGTTCCTCGGTGCAGAAATGTTGGATGCAGCGTTCCCATCTGTCAAATCAAAATGGTTCAACTGCTGACTTCCCCAGTCACCTGCTGAGCTGTAGCTAAGCACAGCTGCGCTGCCAGCTCTCTTCCCCCTCTGAAGGGGAGCTCTGAGTGAGGGGAGCAGCACTACGGTTCCTCTCCTGGACCAACCAGGGGGTCCGGCAGAGAAGAGGGATTTGGGAAGGTGAAGGCCCAGGCTGAGGAGCCCAGTTTGCTGTAGGTTGTGGTCTCTCCAGTGGCCTTGTGTTTCTGCTGTGGAGCTGGAGGGGTATCTAGGAGGTATCCAGGGAGGAGTCAGCTGACAAGTCAAAAGGACCTGAGGAACAACAGCATTAGAAGTTTTAGGATGCAGACACCTTTAGCCTTGGCCTTTTTCTTGGTGTCTGCCTTCCCCTGTTCCCCACAGGCCCCTTTTGATATGGTTAGCAGAAGCTGTAGAAAGGCTGTCAGCTGCTGTTGTGGCTCTTGTATAGTCAGAGTGCAGGGCCAGGTCGTGGGGCTGCCAGCTCTTGCTGCCCTGTGCTGTAATCTCTCTGCGGAGAGCTCTTGTGTTCTGAAGCTCACATGGGGAATTCTTACAGTGTGTGGGTCTGGGGTTGTTCGGTTAAAATCACATGGATTGCAACATCATCCTTTGGCAGACCTCCTTGCTCGTGTTGTTAAGATGTTTGGCAGCATGAGAAACTCTGGAGGAAACTTGGTAGTGGTCCATTGTGTTGCAGAGGGTCAGCAGTGCCAGTGCTGAGCCCGAGGCAGAGTGTGCCCTGGGGGTCTGTGTTGCCAGGCATAGCTTTGGGTATAGGTGGCTGCGATGGGACGGGTTGTGGGGATGTGATCTGAGAGGAGTAGTGCTCACTGCTTGTTTTTTCCTTTTTTCTTTCAATAAATAAAATAAACATGCCCAACCCTCTTCAACCATTCAGGTGATGACATTTCACTTCAGGCTGCTTGTTTATATGGTGCTTCTTGTGCTGTTTGTGTTTCTGACCGATTTGACAAAATCTGTTCTAGGCTTGTGTTGAGCACGACTATAAAAACAAGTAAGGTACGTAGTTGTCCCCTGTCCCATCACCCCCCCTTCTCTCAAGTAGTGCTCTGTGATGGGAGCACTTAGATTTCCAAAAGGAAAGCAGATGGGCTACACCAAACCATCACAGAAGTTTTGTTGAGTCCAGAACACTGGAATTAACATTGCAGGCCTCTTGTTTCTTCATTGCAGTAAGGTAAGTCAGTCTGTCCAAAGTGTCCGACAGAGCTTCTGTTGCTGCATCCAGCACAAACAAGCTGTATGCTGTTGGAAAAAGTCTTATTTTGCATCAGTTTAAATGATACTTTGATTTAGATGACTTGGTTATTGCAGGCCTGTGCAGACTTCATGAGGGCGGCCTGCTGTGCCAGTGGTGCTGGTGCCATGGGAGGGGATCACCTCAGCACTGCAGCTCTGATGTCATTGTAAGGCACTTGGGATTGATAAGGCAGCTTAGAAGGTGATCTCAACACTACACTTGGCCTACTGTACTGTAATTACTACCTGCTTTATTTGAAGTTAGTTTTGCCTCTTCTAGCTAATTATTCATAACTGCTGCAGGCAGCCTTTGAAGTCATGGCTGCCAGTGTGGCTTTCACCACAGGGGCTGCAAGCACCAGCACTGGGGGGGCAGCCACCCCTGTGGTGAGGTCTGGTTGACCCTGCTGGGGGCAGGAGGCTGTGGCCAGGAGCTGGGGCACAGCCTCCCCCGGAGCCCTGGGGGGACCAGGGACTGCAGCTGCCTGAGTCAGTGACTCACACTTAGGATTTTAACTACTGGAGTTTTATCAGTAACTGTTTATCGCATATTTGAAAGAATGTGAAAGAAAATCAGGCGTTATGAAACTGAATTTCTGGTTATGGCTGCTGTATTACTGCAGGACCAGCAATTCCACCTCCATGTGAGACACAGTGGGGAAACACTTCAAGTGCATTGTAAGGCTGCAGGGGAAAGGTGGCTGTTGGTGTGCTGGAAGTAATGATGTGAATGAATAGGATGGTTTTTACCTCTGCAGCTGATGTCTCCAGTGGTAAAAGAGAAGCAAAGTCTTAAAGTCTTTAATTTGACCAAATCAAACTTGATCCTCAGCTGAGTTAAGGAAGATTTTGATGAAATTCTATTGCAGTGCTCTTTCAGAGGAGAGCCATTTAGACAGCTTGAATTCATTTTTTATCTAAACTTTTCAATGGCAGGTTGCTACCCAAGAATAACTATTGTTTGCGTTAGAAAAAGATACTATGCATTATGAAGTAGATAAAGTAGAAACTACTTTCAAATGGCTGTTGAATTTATTTGCTTGATAAATACAATCCTAACAAAATAAAAGTTAACCAATATTAAGAGATTTGTCTGAAGAACATTAGAAAAATCCATGACAATTCAATAGGAATTAGTGTGAATTAAACAAAAAAAAGATTTAAATATTGCCAGCAAATATAAAATGTATGTAACGAAGGCAAGGGAGAATGCTTTAGTTTACATTTGTAATCTGACCACATTTTCTGTGTTTATAAACTTTTTTCCAAATTTTAAAAAAATACTATGCTGTTTTCTCTAACATATCAAAGCATTATTTGTACAAAATCAAATCATGGCCAATGATTCACAACAGTGCAATAGATAAAGAATACAACCACATCCAACAGGTGCTGAAAATAAATATCCAGATTGAAAAATAAGCTATAGGCTATATGCACTCTGTGGAGTTTGTATGGGAATTGATGGATGAGTCTCATGAGTGTATCCAAAACATGAAATGGCCCTTGAATGCCAGTGGGGCTGGAGGCTTTTGATGGGCAGCAGCAGCAGCAGCAGCAAAACCAAAAGCAAGTCCCAGGTGTTTGGTGGTGTTTTTTTAACGCCCACCCCCAGGAGGGGATTGCTGACCCCCAGTGCCTCCCCTTGGCATTGCTGATTTGGAAAACAGGAGCGACTGGCATTTCTGCAGAGGGAAATGCTATATTGCTTGGTCAGGCAGCTCTGTCTGAAGTGACTTAACCCATCCCCATTGCTGCCCAAAGCATTCCTCAGTGGCTTTCTCCAAGGGACTGAAACATTTAAAATGAACGAAGAAAAAGGTCTTGGCTCTATGGCAGCAGTGTGAACACAGCCTGTCTTAAACAGGTACAGTGATGGTGGTTTATAAATGAGTGAATGGGTTACCTACCTCGCTAAAAGACATGAACAGCTCTTGATGAACATTTCCATCATACAGGGACATAAATAACATCTCCCAAGATTTTACATTTATTCAGTACATCTCGGAACAAAAAAGGAAGCTTAAGGGCATGTTAGGTAAACACGCTACCCCGCAGTCTCCCAACTTTTCAGCCAACCCAGAATAAATTTAAAGCTCCCTTGTATATAATCTGCACCAGAAAGGTATCAAAGGCACAAGCAAGAAGTGACTACGTTAATAAGCAGAAATCATGGTGAATGAGGATGACTAGATTCACAAGGCAAATAATTAGTAATTGTGGGGGTGGTTTTGTTTATTTACTGAAAATGAGCTCTTCCAGTCCTGCTTCAATGAAAGTAAATAATGATTTTGGTTTAAAATAAAAATGGTACTGAATTATTTTAAATCACCTGAAGGAAACCAGTCTTGAAATAATCTGATACTAACTGGAAAACTCTTCTGGCCTCTCCAAACTCACCTGAGCCTGAGTAGAAGCCACAAGTATCAGAGACAAAAGTCTCCAGGGCTTAAAAGAAAAGTTTCTTTGCAGAATGTACACAGCCAGCAATAATTTGTGCAGTTAGACTCAAATTACAGTAATTTGCACAGTTCAGTTGATTTTATGCATATCCAAGGATCAAATTGGAGTTTCTTTCCTGTCTTTACTTGGCGATGGCTTCACTTGCTGCTCCTTGCTTGCTTTTGGCTGCTCTTTGGCTGCTTTTGTCTCCAAGACACTCTCTCTTTGCTGCTGAGAAACACCCCCACGTTTTTCTGGCTCCTCTTCTTCCTGCACCTGCTGCTCTGATTTAGCTCGCTGCAATAGTCGAAGCTGCACTCGCAGTTCTATGATGGCCTCTCGCTCCTCGTGAATTGCTTGGTTCAGATGATTGTTCTTTATCTTTGAAGTAAGGAAAACAAACATCAGGGCTCCTTCTGACAAAGAGCTGTGGTAGCTGGGGGGGGCACTTAGCATCGCACAAGGAAGTTTTGCTGTTAACCCAGGCAGCAACGTGGACTTGCGCACGATAGCGACTTGAAAAGAGCATGTGGGTGTTACAGAATAAAATAGGTGAAATAGATGCAAAGCTGCTGCTTTGCACGCGTGCAAACGTTTCTGCACGGACTCAATCAAGTGGCTGCTAAGGAGGAGAGTACCAATTAATACTAAGACTGAAATCTTACCTCCAGTTCCTCATTCTGCCTCTGCAAATCTTCCAGGATGACCTGCAGTTCCTCCTCATCTTCACTCTCGCTTTCACTCTCGGAAGAATATTCCTCAGTTTCGCTTCGGCCATGCTGCTGGCGACTGAAAGACCAATGACAAACTCCCATTTAAACACTTCCTCAACTTCTCCAGAACTACAGCAGGATAAAAGAGCTAACTTACATCTGCTGAATAATCTGCAATGGTTTTAAAAACATCAGCATTTCCTTTCAAAACAATTTAATAAACCAGTGATTTCCTAGGGGGAGGTTTTTTTTTTGTTTGTTTCCTTTAGATTGTAATGCCATTGTTATACTAACAGAAAAATATCCTGAAAGGGCCAAAGTTGCTGAGATTTCAATAAAAAGAAGTGGCTTTCAAACATGATGTTCATAGGGTGAGCTTTTAACTGTAGTTTAGAGTATTATTTCAGAAGACCATATATGTAATTTTAATCAGAGTGCTCTCCTGGCGGGGGCTCCGAGGTAAGCTGTCTCCCTTTTACCTTTGTATTTCAGCTATTTCTGCTCGAAGGCGATCTATTTCTTCTTTCTCCGAGGCGATTTGTCTCCGCAGAAACTGCTCCATGGCCAGCAGTTCTTCTTGTTCTGTTAAAATCTCATTCTCCTGCAATGATCAATTAGCTCACTTAGAGCCTTGACTTTACATGCTACAGGAGCATACAGTAAGTGTGAGATGATGCTGTTCTCTGAAATGCTTTCACCAGAAGTGGTTTGCGTACTTGCTTTGAACCTCAAAGCAAATGTAAGTTCAAAACCAACAGTGCCTGTTCTTAATCCTCAAGATGATTGCTGTCCTGAATAGTTGTGGAGATGACGCACCAAATTCTGGCACGTCTGGCTGCCTGTTTCCTTAAATCACAGGGGAAAGCTCTGGCTAACCAGTAAAATAACTAGAAAAACTGAATTATAAAACACATCTTTGAAGATGAATATAAGGAGGAAAGTACAGTGGAGAGGAGATCAAAGCTTCTGAGGGAAGCAAAGGAAGGCAAAAAAGCCAAAATAGTTGCCTGCCTGCCTTTGATCAGC